AAGGTTCGACGCAACTATCAAAGAGTTTGAATTTGTGAAAAACCCGGAGGAACCTTGTGTCTACAAGAAGGTTAGTGGGAGTGCAGTGACTTTCCTTGTACTTTATGTTGATGACATACTACTCATTGGGAATGATGTAGGGATGTTGCAGTCGACTAAAGTATGGTTATCCACACGTTTCTCGATGAAGGATTTGGGAGAAGCATCCTACGTATTAGGAATACGGATCTATAGAGATAGATCGAGGAAATTGCTTGGCTTGTCCCAATCCATGTACATAGACACCGTTTTTAAACGGTTTAGCATGGAAGAATCCAAGAAGGGATTCTTGCCAATGTCCCATGGGGTTCGTCTCTCGAAATCCATGCGTCCTCAAACGCAAATGGAAATCGAGGAGATGAAAAGGACACCTTATGCATCCGCTATAGGAAGCATAATGTATGGCATGCTGTGTACACGACCTGATATTGCGTATGTTGTGAGCGTCACAAGCAGATATCAGTCCGACCCCGGCCCAGCCCATTGGAAGGCTGTGAAGGACATTCTCAAGTACTTGCGAAGAACTCGAGATTTGTTTTTGGTCTATGGGGATACCGAGTTGAAATTAGAAGGCTTCACGGATTCTAGTTTTCAATCGGACGTGGATGACTCGAAGTCAAACTCGGGGTATATATTCAAAGTCAATAGGGGTGCCGTGTGTTCGAAGAGTTCCAAGCAAGGCACGACGGCTGATTCCACCACCGAGGCTGAATATATTGCAGCATCAGATGCTTCAAAGGAAGGGTCATGGATTAGGAAATTCATCCAAGAGTTGGGTGTATTTCCGAACGCTAGCGATCCAGTACGGTTGTACAGCGATAACAACGGAGCCGTAGCGCAAGCTAAGGAACCAAGAGCTCATCAGAAGTCGAAGCACGTGTTGAGAAAATACCATGTGATCCGAGAGATCATAGAGAGATGTGAAGTCAAGCTAGACAGAGTCACCTCGGAGGACAATATTGCAGATTCCTTCACCAAGCCATTGTCAGGATCAGTCCACGAGAAACATCGAGAGTCGATGGGACTTAGATTTATGAGTAGTTGGCTTTAGGTCAAGTGGGAGATTGTTGGAGTAGGTGACCAACAAGCCAACTTGTGGCTGTGGTCTTTCCTTTTATCTTGTAATAAAACAATCGTTTTTCGTTTGTAATAATAAAATATCTTATTTGGCATTCTATATCTGTTATCCCATGCAAGTAGCATAGATATAGTCCTAACGAGTTACTCTATTACTGTGAGTTGATCTAGAAGAGTCGTGAGATAACTCAGCAATGTAATGTAACTGTTAAACCTTGTTCCTAGTCGATGGGTTACGCCAATAATGAGGATACCGGCCTTTCCCTTTTGAGACTAGCACTTAGTGTTGTGACATCGGCATACTTCAGTGGGTGCTCATATTAGATGAGTTCACTGAACTCCCTCGCCCTAGAAATCTATAAGTGGTTCTCATTCATCGAGTAATAGGTTTCTAAGATATAGTTGTACACCATTAGTCCTTAAGACCCAGACATCACCGTGACTTCACTAGAGGACCGATTGTATCGTGACCTGTCCCTGAGTCCCACCGCGGACCACAGCAAGGGCCAACGTTCGTGCAATCCGAAATCTAGTGTGAAGTCTGTGTATTGTAGTAGGGGATTCGAGCGCTTGAGTAGTCATGGATGTCCTGTGTGTTTTGACGGTTTATAATCCATGGAATCTCTGGCCAGAGTTGATAGTGGGGTGATTAGGGAAATGTGTTTCCCTAAGTCGCACACGAACGGATTTATAATACCTAGAACGTTCGCACGGTTATTGAACTTTATAAGAGGTCTCGGTGAACCAATGCCTCTAGTTCAATCGGGACATACATGTGCTGCGAAAGGATCGTACTGTACGCTAACTATATCATAAGGTTCTTGCAGGCACTTCATTTGTATCTAGGGAATCATGATGCGTAGTTGCTAGACGCCAATCTTGATTCGTTGGGCACCGATTTGATCGGGGATTAGGTAAAATGAGTTTTACTCTAATCGGGACTCTTGGGAGGAGTTCGTATAAGAACAATGTGTTGTTCGAATCACAAAGAGTTGTGAGCCCACGGCTAGCATACACCTGAACCATTGAGGGTCACACTTCTCGTGTAATATAGATCCTTGATAACAACAAGCATAGATTAATGTGTTAATCTTTGAACGATTGGATGTCGATATGATTGAATCCATGATTCGTAATTGTTGATTGCGAATCGGAATAAACGTAGAGAAAGAGAGACATGCGGAATTTAGTGAACTTTCTAAATTGGGAAGTTTCCCGATTTAGCAGGTCCACTGAAGTGGAAGTTTCCAATTTTGGAAATTGGAAATTTCGAAGAGGCACTCGTATCGACGAGGACTTTAAGCTCGTCACAAATATAATTTTGTTATAATTTTGTGAACGATCGTTTGTTAGAAACGAGGCCGACGAGGGAATGGGCTTAATGCATCAGTGGGTCAAGCCCAATGACTTAAGCCCACTAGGGTTGAAAACCCTAAGTATAAATAGACCTCAAAAAGAGTTTTGAGTTCAGATTTTCAGCACCAAAACCCTAGCCGCTCAGCCCTCTTCGGCCGTTGCTGCCCCGCCGCGCCACCGCCGATCACCACCGGAAAACCACCGGTTTTCTTCTCTCGTTTCCTTCGTTTTATTCTTGTTGTTATCTAACTCGTTTACATCTAGTGCTGTAGTTCGAGTGGGTCGAAAATACGAGGTGAAACCTAATTGGAGAGGAGCTGCTGCCCCGACGAATCCACGCACCGCCGCACGCGCCGATACGCCGCTCACGCGCCGCCGCTGCTGCTGCCACGCGCCGCCGCTGCTGCTGCCGTTCACCGCCGTTCGTCGCTTGCTGGATCAGCTTGGTCCAGCCGTGAATTGCAGCCCCGAGGATTGGTAATTTGCAGCTTGTACGTGATTGGTTCTAGGTTTCGATTCGTCGAAATCTCACGCTACAAGAGGTAAATGAATCGAAACTTTCGTAAATTAATTCGAGCATGTTTGTAGGAATTATAATTTATGATTATGAGTAATATGTGATTACGTGTTTCGATTTTATTGAATGATGAACAAGCATGTTTCGTAATTTTCGGTTTTACGTGTTTTTCAATTAAATCGATAATTACCATATGTATGGCGGAAGCGTTAAGGTACGTTGACTATGTGATTAGTTTTTGCATGTAATCGAAATTAGTTCGATCTAAAATTTTAAATTCCGCTGCGTATACATGCACGATCCCCAACAGGCTCGGCGAGTGGTGGATCCCGAGGGCGATTCACCTGAACCTCGCGAGGTGGATCCGGAGCACGGGGAGGAGGTGGCAAGCCAAAGCCTCCGCGAATTGGGAGGTTGCTAGTTGTGTCATTCTCTCTCCGAGTGGATGACTCAGGAGCATCTTGGAGGCTACGTGATCTGGTATGCTTTCCCACAGACGGCGCCATTATGATGATGCTAGAAATAGATCACCTCAAGTAGTTGAACTGGGAGAGTAAAGTGGATCACATCTCACGTGCTAGATGGTCCTGAGATACCTGCGAAGAGAGAACACGTGAACTAGGCCGGGGGTTGATCCGGCGAAAACCCCTCCGACGCTCAAGTCAGACGTGCGGATTGTGGAAATAGTTGAGAGAATACAAATTATAGTATTACTCAAAAAATAGGGCGTACTTTTAGTAAATGAATTTTCTTGTTATTTATACCTTGTCGATTGGGTTGTGGCTAATTTGTTGGGCCCAACCTTATTTGACGGTAATTGGGCTTTCGTAATAGTATTCTTCTAGATCGGACTTGTGGCCCATTACGTAGAGAAATAGTAGGCTAATTGGGCTGGCCCAATTAGGTATGTCACTGTCCCTAGCGTTTTAGCTAACAAAGGTCTTGTAGCAAATTCTTTCTCCTTATGCTTTGGCTCTATTAGGTTATGATGCCATCTCTTCCAAAACTCTAGCCCCAAACAATAATGGAAACTCCTCTCGTTCACGTCCACCACTACCGCCGCCAACACCACAACCACCACCACCACCACCAAGTGATGCTGCCAACTTGAGTTCCATGATTAGCGGACTTGTGATGGTGATACTTGCCATTTTCTTCCACCACTTCATCATTTCTCCTTCATGATGAGGTTATATTTTACCACAGGACATATTATTCTGTCAATATTTTTGCATGAGATGATTTGCATTATAATTTGTGGACATGGAGCATGGTTCCACTACAATAATTGACGGAACACACTTTAATTTTTTGAATTAAAATTGGGCTTGTATGTTGATTGAGCATTGTGGATTTCTCTTCAAGTTGGGCTTGTTTGTACTATTTTTCAGGTTTCATATCACACATGTATGCAATATGATATTGCATCACTACAAGTCTACAAGTATGTGTGAAAAAAAATTACCAATTCTGAGTTTAGTCGTTGTATTTTGGGAGACGATTGTCAAATAACTGTAAGCACCGTAGCGGGGCAATATCGTCTTAAGAGTTTTCTCGCCTCACCTAATCTTTTCGTATTTTCAATAACTAATTTATTTGATCATTTTGCCAAATTCACTACCCATTTTATATATACACCAGGAACAACATACTTTTTCTCCATTTGTATTTCATAAATGCATGATGATGTTGGATCAATTTCATTAAAACTGCATGTGTTTTAAGATGTGTGATTGGACTAAAGAGAACCGGGAGTTGGTTTATGTTGCTTTCGGCCTTAATTTCGGTATTTGTTTCATTCCGTTTTATTTTTATTTTATTTTTAAATTCATCTTCCTCCAAGGCTGTGTAGAGTCTTCGATCGGGCAGTTGATTGGCATGATCGTAACTTTTATTTTAATATGATGTTTATTTTATATTGTTCAATGAAATATGTTTTCGAAAACTAACTACTTGCATAAGTTGAAATAAAAAGTAAATTTAAACAAAAAAAAGAAAAAAAAAATTATGTCGATTAACCGAATATTTCGGCAAATTTTATTTTATTACAGCCAGAGCCTTTGTGAAAGATAACCAAATAAATACAAGTGGTATTAATTATTATAATTAATATTGGTAATTGAAATGAGCTGGATTTTGGTTTCGAGCAAATTAAGGTTGTCTTTGTTGAGATTGGCCCAAGCTTCAATTCCCTCTCCAGATTTGGTGTTCATAAGCACTATGAGATTCTTCAATGGCAAAGCCGTAGTGCACACCCAAAGGGGGCGCCCCCAACCATAATCAACCTCGTACAAAGGAAACCTACACCAACTGGTAAAACAACACCACTCGAATAATAACCCTTGTTCATCTTCTTCTTCGTCTTCCACTTTTGTACTAGTAATTAATTGTGTAACCAATTCTTGAAGATCATTCAAAGCTCTATCTCCACTTTGAGATTCCGTAATGTAATCATCGTCGATTCTCCTTATACACCTTCTCAACTTGCCCACGAGTTCTTGAAGTTCGTTCGCGTTAGCACTAGTAGTATCGGAGAATGCGGATGATAAAATGATGCAGTTGCCGAACATATTCTCGAGAATATTCTTTCTTGGCCTTAGATTGGCCGCATGTGATGCACCGACGACGATGCTTCTTTTCGCGCCGTTTTTAACTTTGGAGAAGTCTATTATATGTTTCCATATGAAAGACGAGACGAGCTCGATTCGAGTAGGGTTGTTGACCGTGGTTGACCCCGATGGGTTTATAGCGGCTTCTCTAAGAGCTCTCAACTTTTCCTTATCGAACACGAACCTTTAATTTTTTTAATCATGAAAATTATTATTCTTGTCAGATACGGACCGGCTGATTCTGAAATAATATTTTTTTGTAAGGATTTATTTTTAATCCATTTTTTGAAACTTTAATTTCCGTGTTTTGGGACACTTTTTTGGATGTTTCGAATCCCAATTAATGGGACAAAATACACTTTTAGTCCTTCATGTTTACGACTAAAATATTTTTGGTTCCTCTTGTTGCAGAAAAAATACTTTTGCTCCTTGGATTTATCACTTTATGACACATTTGGTCCCACATGTTAATGCGATATTAGTAATTAATTAATAGTATCTGGAGAAAGAACCGGGAAATACAGTTTTGGTCACTCGACTTTACGACTAACAGTTTTTGTGTCCCTATTGTTCCAAAAAAATACCTTACTTAACAAAATCTGAACGAGAAATTAAGGACGGAAAATTACACTTTTCGTCCCTCATATTTACGACAAATTTTTTTTTTGTCCCTCTTATTCAAAACAACATACTTTGATCTCTCCATGGGTTTGCTCTAATTTGACATGAGCACATGCCATGTTTAGTTAACTACCAAAACTCATTAACAGTGGGGACCAAATGTGTGATAAAGCAATAAATCGAGGGACAAAAAGTATTTCTTGAAAATAAGAGGGACCAAAAGTATTTTTGTCATAAACATTAGGGACCAAAAGTGTTTTGTTTTTTTCAAATTAGTTATGGGTTAATGAGGGTGGATCTTCCTGACACAAGAACTTAATTAAAAAAATAAAAGAAAAAATTCATTTTTTTCTCCTTCGCATAAACACACCCATTCAACATGTATTATTTAAGGGGACCCTAATTTTTATGATAAAATTACCTACAACCCCGTTAAACACACAATAAAACTATTGTTTCATGGTCATACTTAATAAATAATCCCAAAAAAATCCAAAATTTTGAAATTCTAAAAAAATTATAACTAACTACTAGTTTCTCCTTACCGTACACATACCTTTTCGTCACAAAATTCTCGTCCGACACGGGAAATCTCGAGTCGTTAGAGCCCAAAAAGTCCTTTGCAGGGAAAAAGTCAGCAAGATTGAAACTAACTCGAGAAACTTCATCACCGCCTTCCTCTCTGCATGCACCGGCCCACGCACCCATAAACGCCATCACAGACGCCAAGTCAGCCATTTTATGCAGAAAAGAAACTCCGACCGCAATTCCTCCACAATCGAAACAAGTGACTTGTACGAGCAAAAGGGGTCGATTAGATATACTAGTACTACGATACTGATCACTACACGGAATATATTGCTTCAAGTATTTCTCCTCCATGTTGGACTCTCGTACGACATCCACTATTCGAGCTCCCGATCGAGCATGGACGAAAACGACCCCGGCGTTGTTGCAATTTACGACGAAATTATCTTGGATCCTTCCCGCTAACGGGTAGAAAGAAGTTAGCGTGTCGGAAATGGACCGTTTCATACGTTGAGATATTCGGGCATGATTCGAGGTAGTTAAGCCTTTTGATTCGTCGGCTCGGTAGAAGAAGAGGATTGGGAAATATATAGCCGGTGTTGATTGATCCAAGTACGAAAGTCTCATATTTTTCAGGTGATGTGGAGTTTCACATGAGGGTTTGATCATCTCTCTAGAGATTACTTGCACACGAGCTTCCATTTTTTTTTTTGTTTTTCAAGAATAGATATATATCTCTTTGTATTATTTTTTTTGTGAATGAAGATTGAGAATGCTATCATGCTTATATATGCACGTGGGGACAATAAATTTAATAATATACATAGTAAAGAAACTAAAAATGTATACTCATTCAGACAATAAATAACTTTCACATTAAAAAAAAGTGTCTAGAGCTGCTGCACACTATATCTATTATCTAGTAACACAATTTGGCAAAAAAAATAATTAATAGCACGCTAAGTACCAGCTAATAGCCATCCTAATTAATTCATCCTAATCTAGTCTGAATCACTGAAAGTCACATTATTTTTTGGGTTTTTGGCATTTTACACCCTTAAATAAATGCCTTTTGCAATGTGCACCCTTAAATTGCATAATTGGTAAAATTGAACCCTTCACACATAAGTTTTTTGACACTTTGCACCCCAATTCACTTTTTGCTTGAAAAAACTACCGACAGCTTGTTAGGAAAGGAGAGCAAATTTTATTACTTTCTACATTTTTAGTATTTATACTGCCGTTATAACTTTACTCACTTAAATAAGAATTAGTAATCCTACTTTATTTTCTGATGTTAGTTACATAGACAAACGATTATGATAATCTAGAGATACCAGATTTTCATAAACATGGATTTTTTGGGTTTTTTTGATTAAGAAAAAGGGTACGGGATGAAAAACGGGGAAACGGTTTTTAAGAATTTGGGGACGATGGTACTAAAAGAATAAAAAAATTGCCCTTCTTTCAAGTTCCCTAACAAGTCGGCGGTATGTTTTTCAAGCAAAAAGTTATTTGCGGTGCAAAGTGCGAAGCAATTTATGTTTGAAGGATGCAATTTGTCAATTTATGTAATGCAAAGGTGCAATGTACCAAAAACCCTTAGTTTTTTTCAAAAGCCAATTTAAGGTTAGGTATGTTTGGTCTAGCTAGAAAGATTTTTTAAAATGAGCTAGCTAGGGAATTGAAACGGAATTGAGGTATGCGTGTCGAGTGTAGATTTTACAGTCACTACAAGAAAAGAGCTTTTAAATAACGAAACAATGGTAACAATTATAAAATTTGTCACAATAAGTAGTCTATGGTAACGAATTATAATGTTTGTCACGAAAAATTCATTGTTTTGTAACGCTACTATAATATCGTTACCAAAAGAAGAATTTCGTTACCAAAAAACCTAATATTTGGCGACAACTAAATATATTGTTACAAAACCTTTATTTTTGTTACGAAAAAATAGGGCAAACTACAGTTTGCACCCCTGAACTATAGGGCTTGTCACAAACACCCCCCTGAACTACA